GTGATATACATGTGTATACACATGTGTGAAATGTATGTCTCTGTGTGTGTGTGTGTTTCTGCTGTCACAGAGCTTACATTCTAAGGGGAAAGTGTTAAGCTAATACATGAGGATATAAATAATACAAGTCAGTACTGCTAAATACCAGAAGGGATACATTTGCCCTGTGACCTATGTAATTTGGAAAACTCAACTTATGTCTTACATGTGATTAGTTTCTGTGATATAATTTATCCACTACAAAATCAAGCTTTGATCCACAATTTTGATTTACTTTTTCTAAACAGATTCTTAGTAGTAGAATTTTTAAAAATAATGTTATGTAACAAAAGCAAACTGATGCCATCCTTCTAATTACCCAGGCTCACCTTCTCAACTTCAGCATGAACCAGGGCTTGTTACAGATTGCTGGGCTCCATCACCTGAGTTTCTGATTCAGGATGTCTGGGGCGGGGGTGAAGGGTGGGGGAACATAATCTGCATGCTGCTAGTGTGGGGATCATGCTGCTCCAGGGTTATCTTTGAATTTTCCCTATTGCTTGCCTTCCATATCCACGTTGACACTAAGGCTTATCCTTCTTATATTCTCTGTCTTTCCCTTTCATTTCCATTCCTTTATTTGACTTCTGCTTTTTTCTCTTGATGGAAGGGGGTAGAGGTGAGCACTGCTTTGTTCCCTGACAGGATGGTTTGTGTTATCTTTGGTGTTTTTTCTCTAATTCTGTTGCTTTCAAACATGCCCTTAACTCTTAGTTTCCTTTCTCACAACTTTTATGCAGCTGCAGTAGGTGAATGAAAGAAACTCCTAGAGACAAGGAAGTCCTCTGTGGTTTTTTTTAGCAGTGGATAAAGACTGGTTGGGTGAGGAATTTTCATTTTTACTGTTATAAAAATTGTTAAGGAATAAGAAAATTCTTTTCTGAAGAACATTCAAGAGCAATCTAAGGAGTATAAAGTAGTTCCAGTGTTTAAATTCCAAAGAGGAAGGACACATGTCAAGCGTGTATTATTCAGAGACAGGAAATAGAGCAAAGCAACTCAGTGTCTCCTGGGTACTAGGGGCGAAAAGTAATAATTGATGAGGATTTTTAATTTTTCTAATTAAGTAACACTTTGCCTCTTCTGAAAAGCTCTCATATGCATCAAACGTTTACATCAGAAGGCAGGAAAAAATCATTTTTATTTTAAAGTCAAAGAAACAGAGGGTTGTGAAATTAACTGACTTGTTGAAGGACACACAGCCATTTAGAGAAAACAAAACTGGATCCAAATCATCTAATTCCAGTACAATCGTCTTTCATTTGTGCCTCTACTTTAAATTTTTGTGTTATAATCACTATGAAATATACTTTACAACTAAAGCTTCCTTGATTCTTAAAGGTAGAGCTTAGCTCCAAAATCAATTATGACGGACTACTTCTTTGTCTCAAACACATTTTTTTTTTTTTTTGAGACAGAGTCCTGCTATGTTGCCCGGGGTGGAGTGCAGTGGTGTGATCTCCGCTCACTGCAACCACTGCCTCCTGGGCTCAAGTGATCTTCCCACTTCAGCCTCCCAAGTAGCTGGAACTATAGGTATGCAGCACCATGCCTGGCTAATTTTTAAAGATTTTGTAGAGCTGGAGTCTTTCCAAGTTGTCCAGGCTGGTCTCAAACTCCTGGGCTCAAGTGATCCTCCCACCTTTACCTCCCAAAGTGCTGGAATTACAGGCGTGAGCCACCATGCCTGGCCCCAAACACTCTTTCATGAATGTGGATCATTAACATAGAGCAGTACAAGATTTTAACTGGACTCTGAATCTTAGAATTGATTCTCTTCAGTTTTTTTTTTTTTTTTTTTAAGAGATGGGTACCAGGTTGGCCTCGAAACTCCTGGGCTCAAGCAATCTTCCCGCCTCAGCCTCCTGAGTATCTGGGACTATTGGTGTGTACCATCACACACAATTTATCTCTGCAGTTGTTGAAAGCAACTACCATCTATATTAAACTTTGGAGTTACTGAATTGCTAAGACAGTTACTCTGCAGGTCTATTGGTTTGCATAGTAGCTGTGATGGAGAGAACCCAAATGTCTTTCTTTTTAACTTTGTCAAGCTATTCTTTCTTTTTAGGATTCTTTTTAGTTAGAGTATGGGTGGGAACACAGAGTCCAACCCTACTCTTACGAGTATCCCCATGCTCCCTAGAACCTTTTTATATTAACATTTGGACTTTTTGCTTTGAATTTTTATCACTTCCACTGGGCTCTTGTAAAGTTTTGAGGTTCCATTTTTTTATGTTTTCCCCAGAAATTGAAAAGCTCACATTTGGAAATGTGAGCTACAACGAACCCAGGTCTTGAATTATTTCCACATGTTCCGGCTGTCTTGCTTTTTGAAAATCTAGACCAATTGTTCTAAAACTTTGTTAGGTTAGGGGATCCTTCAATTAGACAAAAGTCTTGAAAGACCGATAGGATTTCCAAACTGCCACTGCCAAATAATTCTAGAATGACAGGGAAGAGCATTACTTCTTTTAAATTAGGGGCCTGATTGATATATGCACATTATTATTTTCAGGTGGGGCTATGTTATACACACCATTACAATAACATTCATAATTTACTGAGGATGTTCATAATTTACTAGAAAACTGAAGTTCACACTTTAAGCATAACTCAGATTTATAAAATGACTCTACCTATAGCTTTTGCATCTATAATGTCTGAGTGCACAAATCCTTTGTTGGTTTTCTCATGTCCAAATCTAGTTATCTCAGCTAACCACAGAATCTCTGGTGAATCCATTGGAGAAATGTATTTACATATCAAGAAGATATTTTTTGGTAGTACACTGAAAATTTTATGTTGCAAATTTAAAGACTTACCTTAGTATGTGATCTAACGGGATGTGTGAACTTTGTATCTGATAGGTCTACTTGAAGAGCCGTACAGAGGGGAGAGTAGATATGTTTATGGATCCAAGACCAGCAAAGTCAAGTTTGGCTAAGGAGATACTTTCAAACGGTCCTTCCTATACCCCTCCCCCCAAGTTCCTTAATTTAATGGCTTATAAATCAGCTATTCGGGGGAGGAAAGGATATAAACTATGTGATAACACTCTATAAATAATAAGTTGCTACAAAATAAAAACATTACTCTTTGATTACTTCACCTAATAATGGTGATACCTAAACCATATGGAAAATTTATTGTGATTGACCTCAGGTCATTAGCACATTCACATTTATCCCTATAAATACACATAGCGACTTACCACTACCCAAATTTCTTCCTAAATTCAGCAGTGAGTCACTTTGTTTATTTGGAAGTGTGAATACTGTGATCTTTAAAAACTGATTCTCATAAAAGTACGCACATTAATTTACATAATGTCCTGACTTACACTGCAAAGAAGGCAAAGTTTATCTTAAGTAATGTTCTATTTGAGTTGTACAATTCCATGTTTGATGCCTTGTCTCCATCTCTGTTGCTTTCTTTCCCTTCAGTCCCCAATCTAAACTTTGCTGTTTTATGTCCTGTCTCTTGGATTCCTACTAGTTGACCTGAGAAACAAGTTGTTTTGAGAAACTAATTTGTTTTCATGTATCAGAATTCGAGTATGTAACTTTTCCCTGGTAAATTATGTGTCATTTAATAAGGGTATTCTGAGGTCAGGCACAGTGGTTCGTGCCTGTAATCTCAGAACTTTCGGAGGCTGAGGCAGGCAGATGGCTTGAGCTCAGGAGCTTGAGACCAGCTTGGGCAACATGGTGAAACCCTGTCTACAAAAAATAAAAAAGTTAAACGGCCGTGGTGGCATGTGCCTGTAGACTCAGCTACTTGGGAAGCTGAAGTGGGAGGACTGCTTCAGTCCAGGAGGTTGAGGCTGCAGTGATCCGAGATCATGCTCAAACACTACAGCCTAGGTGACAGAGTGAAAGCTTATGTCACCAAAAAAAAAAAAAAAAAAAAAAAAGGATTTCAAATATAACGATCATCAATGTTGCAGGTATTCTTAGGTCCAAGAGAATCTAGGTGAAATCAAAATTGTTTAGGTACTCACTTATATGGAGGAACATCCATGGAATGCCCAATTCTATGGGAATTCCATATCTCTGTCCCATTATGGAGCTAAGAAAAAGGACTGGCTGAGAGATCAGGAGATCTTAGCTCTGGAATCACAGAATCCAGGGATGAAACACAATCTTGCCCATCTTGATGACTGAATCCTGTGTACAAAATCCCCAAAAATGTTCATCCATTTTCTCCTTGAATGCCTCTAATTACAGAAACTCACTCCATATAAAGGCAGTCTATCTGATATTAGAACAGGTCTGATTGTTAACAAAATTTTTCTTTTATTTTGTGGAAAGAATCTCCTGATAGCATCTAATCACTGGTCTAGTTCCACCTTTTGGAGCCAAACTATACAAACTGGACATCTGCTCCTCTTAACCATCTTAATAATAGCTACCACTTATAGAGCACTTATTATGTGCTAGGAACTACCCTAAAGACTTCACATGTAGTAATTTATTCTCAAAACAGCACTACAAGGAAGGTGTATGATGCTTATTCTTATTTTATATGCAAGGAAACTGAAGTACAGAAAAGTTAAGTAATTTTTCCAAGGTGACAAGGTTTAGTAGTGGCTAAGGCCAAATTTAAAGCCAGGCCATCTGGCTCCGGAGCTCCAGCTCTTCCTGACTACAACATGCTGCCTCTGAAACAGAAATACTTGAATATGGCTTATATGATGCCCGGAGTCTTCTCTTCTGCCGTCTGGACATCCCTAGGACATCCCTTCTCCATAAAGGATTTCTGTGATGGTGTCTCTTGGTGGCAGGGTGCTTTGTTCTTATGATGGGAGGAACACAGTTGGGGCTTCTAGAAGAGGCTTGTGGTGGGGTCAGTTTAAAATCTGAAAGATGATCCCAGACCTTCCCTTCTACCTGCCCACTTTGCCTTCCCACAGCCCCCTCAGCCCCTGCTGCCAGGCCTCCAGGTGGGGTGGCACTCACCTGTGTGTACGAACATGTGCTTGACGTAGTTCTGTTTGGCGGTGAAAGTCTTGTTGCAGAGAGTGCACTCATAAGGCTTTTTTTCGCCTTGCCCACTGGCTGTGCTGTGGCCTGCGGATGAGGCCAGGGGCTGTGGCGCTGGCAGCTGTGCAGTAAAGGTCGACAGGCCGGGCTGGGACACTGTCACAAACTGGGTCTGCTGGCCTGCCAGGGGCTGTGGCAGGCTGAAGAGGAAAGGCTTGGGGCCACTGCCCGCGGGCTGGGTAGTGAAGAGGGCTGGCAGGTAGGTGTTGCCAGCTGTGCCAATGACCTGTGTGTTGCTGGTCAAGGTCAGAGGCATCCTCAGGTTGCTGGTGAGGGTTTCTGTCTGGCGTAAGTAGAGCTGGGTACTTGGCAATGGCTGCCCGATGGACGTGTTGACCGAAGGCTGTTGCAGCACGCTCTTGTCGGAGCTGTTGCTGACAGTAATAACAGTGTTGTCCATCTCCACTTCATTGCTTCTCTCCGGAGAGGAAGCACCTGTTTCTAGCTGGTTTGGCTGCGGGCCACCCTCGGCAGGAGCTTCTGCAGCCTGCTCAGGTTGGGCGGGTTCAGCCTGGCCGTCCCGCGCCGCCCCAGGCCCAAACTGCTGCTCCACCGAGTCAGGCTCGGTGCCTATGGAGGAGCTGACGCCCGAGTCGAAGCTTTCACCTTTGGGCTCACTCTCGGTGCCCTCGGCCTGGTCTGTGTCTTCCGTGCACTCCTCGGATTCGTTGCGCTCCAGGATCTGCACCCTTTGCTGCCCGTAGTAGTCGTAATCGTCCTCCATCTCCTGCTTGATGTGGATGTTGCCCACTAGGGTCTGGATGCGCACAGGCCGGGGCTGCTTGCGGCAGTGCGTGGTCTCGGGGGTGGTGGACAGGTAGCGCTCCATCTGCTGCGAGCGCTCATGGATGCGTGTGATCCAGCTGGGGTCTTCCATGTGGTGGTCGCGGGGCAGGCCGAGTGCAGTCTCGTGGTGGCTGACCACTGCACCGCTGTAAAAAGAGCGCTCCCCGCTGCCATTCTGCATGGAGCACGCGTAGAGTGCCGAGTAGATCCTGTCCACGCTGTGCTGTGGGTGGCTCTGCAGGTAGCCCGACTCCGTGTCGCTGCTTTGCCCTGACGTGCCTGACTCGGGAGTGCCCCGCGGCGTGTCCTGGCCCGAGTCTTGGATCCCCGGGAACACATCGCCCACGTTCTGCGACACGATGCGCGTGCACTCGTCGATGACTGTTTTGATCTGCAGGATGCTGGCGGCCGTGAGGATCTGCAGAGCTTCCGACTGCGAGACCCGTAGCACGCCGCTGTACATGAAGTCAATGAGCTTTTGCACTGACTGCACTGACACCACCGACGGGATCTCGATGTCGCTGTAGCCAAGCAGCAGTTTGTCCTGGAAGAAAGGGCTGCCGGCTGCCAGCACGCAGCGGTGTGCGCGCAGCATGCTCCCGTGGATGCGCACCGTTACGTCACAGAAGTGGCCACGGTTGCGCTGCTCGTTGAGGGTCTCGAGCACGGAATTGCTGAAGTTGTGAAGGTTGATGCTGTGAATGCGCTCGGTCATCCCCTTGCAACTGATGTCACCTGCAGCATGTCAACGCAGACACAAAACAGGCATGGGTCAGATCTAGCTGGCTGCATTCCTAGCACCTAGGTTTCAGGTGAGTAATGCTCATGGCTCCTAGAAGCACTGCCCTTACATACGCAAGCGGGGAGATGGACAGGCTGCGGCATACAAGCTGTAGGTACGATGGCCTGAGGGAAAAGGACCTTGAATTTTGCTCCAATTCCGGCCTTAGCGCCGCAGCCATTTTGGGTATCCATGTTAATTGCCCAGAGCTGCGGCTGAGTTAGAGTGGCCTAATAACCAGATGGTTTGCTTGCCTGCTATTCCTATAGCTTCAGCAAAAAACTGAAAGGCAAATGGAAGACTTGTTCTTATGGCACACTATACCTCCACTTTATTTTTATTTATGCATTTATTTACTTGCCTTCACTTTAGACAGGCCTAAGCCGAGATTCTTTGGGAGAGTTTACATTTCCCTCAACTTATCCAAGTCCCTTATTTTATTCATACACAGTGACCATATTCATAGTTAACAAATAAACCTCCTTCCTATTAAGTCACATGGCATATTATCAAAACCCACACCATGTATGCAAAAATTCGTGAAAATTCAACCCAGACTAAGACGTCTACCAAACAGTCATGACCATGCTTTCCGGATGATGGATGGGCTACAGAAAGCAATCTGCTTGCTAAAGGGGCACTCCATGGCTGCTTTCTGTATCTACTCATTCTTCTTGTCATCTTTGACAACCTGTCTGAGCACTTTCTAGGGTGGTTGCATGTGATATGGAAGGTTTTCTGAATTTTCTGAGGCTTAATGAAGAAGGAATGTTAAAAAGGTCAGAGATGGCAGTTCTGACCCAGGAGACTAGAGTACATTGGCGATCATATTTATTATTCAAGCGGGGCACTTTCAAGAGTGAAAGGGAGCATTGTTAATAATTAGGCCAGGATAGCAGGACTAAACCAGAAGTGGGATATATGATCTCCTTGGGTAATAGGGTGCTTTATGTACTTGCCACAGCGAAGTATTAAACAGCTCCCAGGAGGAAGGCAACAGCTATGTGGAGGCTGCAGATAGCCTGACCCAGTGCCACCCCTATAACATAGGCTGTATGACAAGGGATAATATTGATAAGATTTGGATTCAGAATGAGAAAGAAAACAGGTGGCCACAGCAGATCTTAGGGCTTTTCTATTTTTCTAGCTCACCTCTCAAATGGCTCTAGAGAATTCCCCTGCAAATAATTCTTCAATCAGATTCCCCACTCTGGCCTTTACAACTGAACAATCAGCTTGAGAAAGTGAAGTAAGTGGGCTTTCAAAACCAAATGGCCCAAGCACTGACTGTTGGCTTGTGACCCAAATCTCTCCATCTTGTGAGAAGCCACCTGAGAGGTAACAGCCTGCAGATAGGAAGAAGGCCTACCTCCTCGAACTCTGACAGAAGACTTGTTCAGGAAACTCAGTTCAATGAGCTTTTCTACCTTGCTTCACTCAATCACCCTCACATGGTATGAGCTTAACTTAATAAATGTTCAATAATACAATTTGCACTAATTTGTGTAAGAGCATTCTTTCTTGTTTTGACTCCATCAGGTCTGCTATGTGCCTAAAATACTGTATTAGGCTACAGATCCCATCGTTTTTAACTTACATAAGACAAGTTCCCTTTGCCAGATTAAAGAATTAAGGTGAATCCCCCGTAACCATGTTAATACAAAATACGGCCCCAAAGAAGGGCACAAATAACCCAGGAAGGTCTGTTCAGGAACTCAATCAGCAGACGACCAAATTTCAAGTTCTTGCTGAGTTCAATCTACATACATACCACGATAGTAATCACAAGAGAACATTTTTTAGGGGTTACGGTTCTAACTGCTTTATGTATATGATTTCATTTAATCTTACAGCAACCATGGGGAGTAGATGATATTATTCCCATTTTACAGATGAGGAAACTGAGGCCAGAGAAACTAAGAAACTTGCTCAAGTACGCACAGGCAATTGCTGGTAGACTGGCATTTAAACCCAGGCTGTCTGGCTCTAGAGTTCACCCTCTTCACTGTTTCATTATATTGCATAGTTGGCTCCGGACTGAGGTCTGGCCCTTAGGGATCCATGGCTCTGTTGTAAAGCTGTATGAAAGGCTTTGTCCACCACTACCTCCAGCTGCTTTTATACCTATCCGTGATTTACTATGGCTTTCATGTTTCTAGGCTGTCATGCTTCGATATAGCCTCAGTTGTCTAACTTAAATAACTTATTTTTTTAGACGTCACAGTGCAAGAAGTAAGACAACTAACTAACTGGCACTATGGTGTAGAATTTTCGATATACAATTTTACTATAACCAAGGTCTCTTTCATTTAAGAAAAACAATAGGCAGTAAAACTGGTTGTGTCTGTGATCATCTCTGTGTAGGATGGATTTATTACATTTTTTCTATACAAGTGAAAACACTCTTTAAACACACATTTGCTGATAGCATTGGTTACAACAATAACACTAGAGATGTCATATATGACAGAGTTTTCTTTCAGATAATTCTGGGAAGTAGCTCTATCACAATTATCACAATAATTAGTATCCACGTAGTATCTGACAGTGTATACAACTCTTTTACACGTAACATCTCATTTACCCCTTTATAGCAAGCCTATATGTGTTCCGGACATCTTTTTTTTTTTTTTTTT